TCTGTGAGGGGTCAGGTGCTTCCCAACCGGCCCAGTTTGCCTTACTGGCATGGGAATTGGAAGTGAAGTGCCGTGAAACTTTTCCCGGGGAGCTGAGAGTTTTTGCGTAACAGCCTTCAAACCCGTCTCTCCTGTGCCTCACACAAGCGCTGGAGGATGCGGAGCTGTTTTTGTAGGAAATTTGCCCTAGTGCTCTTGGCTGAAATGCCCATTCGTATTACTTAGTATGCTGAAAAACGTCTGGCTCCTTTCTTAGCCCAGAGCTGGCTGCATTCCAGGGATGCTGTGTGTCACCTTTGGCACAGTATCAGATCAAGACAGCAAAAAGTACATGTATACCTTTAAGGCCTGTAAGGCGTAGCTGGACTATGTATTAGTAATTCTAAATGTACTGGTTGGTTCTTTCATAAGACTTTATATTTCAATCATAATAAATGGCTCCTGGCTATGAGCAGCCAGCAGTTTGCTGCCTGGGCATCCAGCGATGCTCCCCTCGGTGTTGCTCTGCTGGAAGAAGTGTGGGTTGGAAATGGGAGGGAGAGAAGGGTTGTGAATGTGAGCAAGCAGCCGGGGTAGCATGTCTGGTGTTAACCAGCCTCTCCCCAAACTGGATGCTCCTGTGGTAAAGGAGCCGTCTGCACGTCTCCTGTGGAGATGCCAGATGTTGAGATGAGGTGCTCCTCCCTGATGTCAAGTGGGTTTCTCTGCCCTGACAGGTGAATCCAGGGCCTTTGCCACCCTTTGGAAGGGGAGAGCGGGCTGGCTGCCATGTGCTTGTGCGTGCTGTCTTCAAGAGGTGGGCAGAGACAGTGCCCGAGGAGAGCAGTCAGCATACCTTAATGTAAGGAGTTTGTTGCCACCTTGTAACCCATCCCCTTGGACTGACTAGTCTGGTTCTTTTGTGCCTCTGAGGCCTCCCCAGGGAAGCAGAGCTGCTGCTGACTCAGTACTGCAATGAAAGGGCTCTGTAATTGCTGTAGTGATGGAGAGAGCAGCACTCTGTGGATGTCTCTTGTTGTGCCTACCTCTTTTTCCCTGCATGTTGGGATATGTGTATAGAAAAAAAATCTTGACTGTCCTGTAGTAGGTTTCAACAGATACTGACTTGACAGCTTCTTTCATTTTAGAGTGTTTAAAAACGTGGGCTTCAGTTGGTACAGTGAAGACTGAACTACAGTTTCCAGATGCTGTCTGTTGTGACTGCCTTTGGGTGTTGATGGAATAGAAGATGATGTGTTATATATTTTAAATATAGGGTGAAGATGTAAAAGTGTTTCTACTTAAGTTTTTTTTAATAAGTCCATGAACCCAAGGTGTTTTTTTTAATGAGTCTGTGATTCCCTTTAGGTTCCACTTAATTTAGGCCCATGGATGTTTCATGCATGTTTTAGGTGTCTGTGAAGTTGTGGATTTTGTTTTTGTTTGTTTCATTGTAAACTGTGCAGTTATGTAAAATGGGCGTTGGGCTCAGTTCATCTGGTGCTACAGAATGGCTTGTAATTAGCATAGCATATCTTGCTAGTTGAGTCCCAGTGAATGATTGAAAAAACTTGATACAACTGATACTAAACAGACTATCTCATGTAGCATCTAAGAGCATGTGTTCAACAACCTGAAGTGTTTGTGTAAAGTGCTTTAGCATTTGCTGACTTTGCTGTTTCTCAGATTGCCCTGGGGGGAAAAGTGGTGGGCATCTCTGTGGAGAGCAGAGGCAGACTGTGGTCTTGCAAGGCTGTCCAGTGTGGTTCATCTCCAGGGTGTGTCTGTAGCCCCTTTCCTGAGAAATACCTATCCCTCTGCCACATGTGAGTAGATAGGTGTATTTTTCTCAACTCTCTTTCCTAATGTTGATCCATAGCTCTCTAGTCCTTTATTGGAGGCTTGGTGGATGGCCAGGCAGCTCCTTCCTTCCCCAGTGTATCATTTGGGGCTGGCCACCCATCCCACAGTGAATCAGCATCAGTGCATTGATCAGCCAAAAGGCACTACTAGGCAGCCTTTCTCCTCTCCTCCCATCCCACCCAGCCTGTTGGCAGCAGGAGCACCAGCAGAAATGAGATGTTTTCTGAGAGTGGTCCTAGCAGCTGGGGGCCTCTACCTTTGCTGAGCTTGGAGCTGGGCTGGTTGCCTCCCTGGTTGGGAAGCGCTTGCAGGCTGCTGCTGCTTCCTTTATTTTAAGGGGTGAAGCAGGTAGAGAGCAGTCCTAGGGACTTTGGGGATATCACCCACCTGTAAATGGAAATGGCTGGGCCCGAGGCTGTGTGTAGGACATGATGCAGTGCATTTTCATTCTGGGGTCTTTTCTTTCATAACTGTGAGCTCTGAACACCAAATGTCTGTTGAATGAAGGGGAGTTGATACAACTGACATAGATAGAAACTAAAACGTTTCTCCAGCTGGAGCTGCCTGAATTCAATATCAAATACTAGCTTCATACATTATGTACAGCTTTTTGATGTGGGGAGCCCAACTGGTTTTGGAAGAAATTGGATTTGGTTATGACTCTACCTGGTACTGCAGTATTTGCCTCATCACAGCACCTTCTGCACTTCTGCAGGTTGACTACTTGAAGCTAGCAGACTTCTGGGTCTTCTCATCCCATGCCTCTCCCTGTAAGTGATAAAGATACATTAATCTGTATTCCCTTCCATCTCAGAGCTGGACTGTTTGGGATCTGAAAATGGGTAACTGTTACTATGTTAATTTTTCAACTCAAAATTCAGGCAGGGTAGTTTGTATTATCAGAGGGTTTTTTTGTTAAATTTTATTCAGATGCCCTAATAACTGAAACGGCCTCACTTATTACTAGAGAACCTTTTGGAAATTAGGCTTACAGAACAACTTTTTTTTAAAAAGCAGCCCCTTGAAGTTCAAGTGCAACAGTTTTCTTCAATCTCCTCCTTTTTTTATTTTTTCCTTTTTTTTTTTCCTACACTGTTTTTTGTTAGGCATGCCACAAAACTGCAGATGCTGAGCATTCTTGTGATAGCTGCTGTGTGAATATTTTGCTTTATTCATGTTTTGAGCCTTCCCTGTGAATTAGGCTGCCTTTTGTTTTCTCTTGGCAGTTCGCATGCTAGAGCTCTTGTTAGCCTATATGGAGCTCCTTATTTTAATGAGACCAACTCCTCTACTGGCTGTTCTGCTGTTGTTTTATTTATTTTTTTTAATCAATGAAGCCTCTTACTGCCACTGTCTCGGGACAATAGCTTTCTTATGCTAAAGGAAAATATTCCCCTGGACAAAGCTGTGGGAAGCATAACATGCTCATTAGTAATGCTTGGTATATACACTGTCCTTCCCTTGTTCATTCATAGAAGGAAAAATGACATCAAGGAGAGGATGCCTCTTTTCTTTTTTTTTTTTTTTTAAATTTTCCCTTAGAAATAAAAGGAGGGGGGGAAAGATAGCACTGGAAGTGTCTCTGATAAAGTTTGAGAAGTGCTACAAGCTGCCCTGATACAAGGAAGTGGCTTCAGCCCAAAAACAAATTGGTTGCTCTTTGTTGGACCCAGAGGTAAGTTATATGAAAAGCCTGTCTTGTGTAGAGTGGGTGGTTCAAGGCAGTGGGAGAGAAAAATGGGGAGGAAATGGCACCGTTGGGCTTTCTGGGTAAGAGGAAGAATTTTTATAAGAACTAGGTCTTCTGTGATGGGCTGTTTGGCCTTTTGAGGAATGCCATCGATGTTTAAAGCTTAAACATCTGGGACAGGAGAGGAAAGTTATTTATTTTTAAAGGAAAACAGATGAGTTAAAACTGTCTGATAGTGTTAGCAATCTGATTTCCTACTTAATCAGTGAGATGAGGTTTTATTGAAACTGTTAAGTAACTGAACAAGATAGTTGTTTTTATCTGGCTTCAAGACCCCAGATAGGTACATTTTGAGGCTGTAATCCCCTTTGCTACCACTGTGGAGAATTAGAAGGAAATTCCTTCTGATAGGTGTGTATGCAGCTAACTTGGTAATACGGCACAACTCTAGACTTTGAGCCTACATGGAGAGACCCTTTATCCCCAGCTCAGTGTTGAGTCTGTGCTGGGTTTTCCCATTATTGAAAGCATTGCTGGAAAATACTGTGTTGGCTTCAGAAGAAAAAGGGTTGACCAGATTGCCTCTGAAACTTTCCTTAAGGATAGTTTAGTCAGGGAATTGTCCTGATAATCATGTTGCTGCAATAGTTTTCCACATTCTGTTGAAAACATAGGTGTGTGCTAGCTGCCTGGAAAGTCAAAATTAATAAAAACATTGATTTCTCTCATGGATCTCTGCAAACCGTTGAGTATTATTTATGCATATTATGTATTGCTACTTTGTGTTGTAATAACTGCTGCTTTATTTTAAGGGCAGAGAACTGAAGTTGACTGAATACTGGATCAAAACCTTAGCTACTAAGATACTTCCCTCTTTCCCCCTCAGTTTGAATTAAACTTGTTCTTATTTCTCCAAAACAGCACTAGTATGTTTTTCTTGGAATTTTCATGAAAGCAGGGGGGACTGTACTAAAAATTTTATTCTCTTTCCCAGAGGAAGAAACTAATGTAAATGCAGATGACCATGCAGAATGCAGTTCAGGTAAAGGCCTTTTATAATGTTTGAATCCTGTTTATTGTTTTGGATTTGTTTGTTTGTTTGATGCAGAAATCTAGCTTGAAGCAGGTGAAATGCTAGAATCCCCAGACTTATATCTAGTTGGAAAAAAAAAGAAAGTAATAGTTTTTCCATTTTGCAAATGGAGAAATGTGACAAGAGAGATAATCCAGTGTTGTATCAGATAGGTGATCATTTATCTTCCTAAACACTGCTACCTAAGCAGGTTTTGAAGTCAAAGGTTGAGATTATTTTAAAACTTTCTTGATAATTAAGAGACATTTTAAAAAGCCCTATGTTCTAGTTAATTGTTTAAATATAAAAAAATGTGTTTTATAAACACACACTTCCTCAACTGAAGGGAAGTAGTTAAGAATATCAGAAGGACTCCCTCTTTTGACATTTTGTACATGGAATTCCAGTGTACTCCTTTTCTTGAAATGTAAAGGTACTTCTCAGTTTGGAAATATGCAATCTTTAATAGATGTGGTAAAGATTCATGTTCATTAAGTGTATTATGCTCTTGCATGAGAATGTTTACGGTTTTAACATCATTGTTTAAAGGATTTAAGTACAAATTGTCTGAAATATTTGATCAGAGATGTCAGTAGTAAATTATATTGTAACCTGCAGACTGTGTTTCTCAAAATATGTTGAGAAAACAATCCCCACAAATTTAATGCATATTTTCTCTATTTGATATTTAGGAAAGTATGTAATTTTAAATCCAAATAAGTGAAGAGAATGAATGTATTAGGATGTAGGATGATCTCCAGAGGTCCCATCCAACCCCTACCATTCTGTGATTCTGTGACTTCTGATACAGTTTTGAGTTACTAATGAGAGCTGCACAATTAATTATTACTGTTGTGTTGGTTTGGTGAATGTCTGAAGGGGAATGAGCACTTACTCTTTGAATAGTAGATCTTCAGCACAATTCAGAACTGCAAACTTTTGTCCTCTGCCTGCAAATATTAGAGCTTGCTATCTTCAGCTTACTGAAATTTTCCACAGGTGTGGTTTGGAGATGACCTTCCCCTAAGTCCCCGAAGTCCCCTGACTCCCAGACATGGGCCAGGTTTGGCAGATGTGTGCCTGTACGACCAGTGGATATCTGTGCGGCATGAAGCAACTTTGGTGCCTATGCAAGAAGATCTGTCCATCTGGCTGTCTGGCTTGCTGGGTGAGGTTAAAAATAAGTCACTGTCTAATACATTTCAAAGCACTTTCCAATATTCCAGGCAATGCTGACACTTTATAGTATTAATAAGATCTGGTGTATTTGTGCCTGAGCTATGAGGAGAATTTCATTAAAATGCACGCTTTGGTTTTGGATTTCATTAGCTGACACCTCTTAGAGGTAGGATGATTAATTGTTCTAATTTATATTTCTGCATCTTGTTAGTCTGATTAAAATCTAATTAAGCAGATATTTTAGTTATATATTTCTACTAATTCTCAGTCTTTCATGCTCTAGTAAATTATATGATGGTTGGAATGTTGTTTGAGTTGCCTCTAAGTTCATACAAAACTTATTTCTCTTCTGTGGAGTAACTAATATTTACCTTTTCTTTTTAAGGAATAGAAATCAAAGCAGAACAACTGCTTGAAGAACTTGATAATGGGGTACTGCTCTGCCAGTTGGTTGGTGTTCTTCAAAACACAATTAAAAAATGTTGTAGCTCAAATAACTTAAGGGTGAGTCATATTCTGATTTATTTATTTTTTTATACATTATATAAAGTCTTTAATCATAAGTAGTAGTAAGTAAGTAGGAAAGCAGGTGAGTAAGGCTTCCCAAAGAGCCATTCTGTGTGCTGTGTATCTGGAGACTGATTAACAACAGTGTGGAATTATAGATGGATAAACTGTCCTTATGCAACAAATTACTTAATCACTTTGTTAATCAAATCCTAATGTCCTGGCTAGTTGGGTTTTTTTTAGTTTTATTTCACTAAAAGTTTAACTGGAGGAGGATCTTAGTAGCCCAAGTGTGGAGTTTGTTCCTCAGGTAACATCAGTGTGGATTAGTAACAAGATATCCATTGTCACTTGAGTGTTTTATTCCTGAAACTGGCTAACCTTAATAACTAGCTAACTTTTTAGCCATGAAAATATCTGTGTTGAGATGTGCGTGGAGATGGGCTTTAGTGTTTTTGTTTGGAACCAAGGCTGAGTAGAAACATGAACCTCAAGCAATTTGCATTCTGTTTTTGAATGATGAAAAATAACAATGTGTCACTTTGGCATATAAAAACATGTATTGCTGGTGCAGGCGTTCATTGTACAGGTAACCAGTATAGCTACAGCAATGCTTGGATTTGTCTAATAGTAGATGACCAGCCAGTGTGCCCTAACTGGTACTGTTTCCCTTTGGGGGCAGAAGGAAATATTTCACCATATCCAGGTAATTGTTTTGGTGTGTTTAACTTTTACTATTCTATCTAGTAAAACATTAGTTTTTAATTAAAGAATATTTGCCAGTAAGTAATATAATTACTAAGATTAGAAACATTATTATTAATTGAGGGAACAAGACAGCATGGTATTCATAGAAAAGCCACATGAAAGCTGCAAATCCTTAGGGATTTTTTTTGAGAACAAGATGCCCAACTTCTGTACCTTTGAACTGTTCAGTTTTGAAGATACCAGCTTAAAAACAAGTAAGTACTGAATTGTTTTAAAAGTAATTGCCCATTGCTCTTTTTTGATTCCCTCTGTTTTCTAGAATGGGCTCTAAACTGTTAAAATCTGGCAGCCAAGAATTGTTCAGTTGCTTGGTGTTTCTCTCTGTGCTTATTCTACTGCTGCAAACAGAGCTTGGGAGCAGGGAGTAACTATATAGACCTGTGAAAACATTATTAAGGCTTTTAGCCTGGGAAATGGGGAAGCAACTGTGGGCAGCTTTGGGAGAGGCTGCAGAGCTAAGGATAGTTCACTCAGTGACTGTTCACTAAGATAAGGTGGAATGCCATCTACATTAGCATAGCTTTTTTAATAGAATATATGGTGGATTGAACACAAAATATTTACTAACCACTGTTTCTGTACTCTGAATTTATGGCTTGTTTTTCTTTGCAAATAGGCTTTGAAATGTTTTGGCAATCTTGATGTGCACAATGTTACTTTTTGTTTTCTTCCCTTGCCAGAATTTTCCTATGAGAAAAGTTCCATGTAAGAAGGATGCTGCATCAGGATCTTTTTTTGCCAGAGATAATACAGCCAACTTTCTTAACTGGTGTAGGGCCATTGGAGTTGATGAGACTTACCTCTTTGAATCAGAAGGTTTAGGTAAATCTTAAATTTTTATTAAGACTTGTTTCGGTGAGAATGTGGGTAACTACCTGGTCAGGGGGATCTCTTTTGTGTAGTCTTATGAAGGCTTTGTCACAGCTTTACCTGTCATGTGCAAGCTATTAATGCTTTTATTTATTTTAGTGCAGTGCTTGCATAAAAGCCTTGAAAAATCAGTTCAGTGACTGCTCTAACTTGCATGATGCCTTCCCAACCTTCTAAAATTTGTTGTGTGGGAGGAAGGGGGGCAGTGACAGCTTGTGCAGCAAACTTGAATGTTTTCCTTCAGTAAAAAGTAACACTGAGAAACAGAGGACAAAAGTGTGGTTTTGCTTTCCCAGTGCGGGAAGACCACAGGGCCATGGAGTCAACTCACAATAAGATCCTTTATTTGGTATTAGAGCTGATTCTTGCTGCAGAAAGCCTTCAGAATAATGCATTCATGACTGCTAAATTTGGTAACTACATCAGGGACTTGTGCCTGAAGTGACAACAGTCTGTTGGTAATTAACAACTTACTTCAGGACCTACTTAACATCACTATAAACCATTTGTATTTTCCCATTTAATAAGATAGTTGTAAAAATAAATTCTGCCAACTTGTGTATGCCTGCCCCAATGCACAGTCTGTCCTTATAACAAACAGCTTCTAGACTGATACTTCCAGATGGAATAACATTTTTTGACTGCTAATTAAGAGGAACTGTTTTCATTGTATGGTAAATAATTACATGCTCTTCTACCAGCTTTTATGTCAGTAAAAATTAATTAATGCAAACCTTTCTGTGACAAGACAAATACTGGCTTTTTGTTGTGTTTTGTTTTTTTTAAAAGGGAAAATCTCTCCCTGTTAAGCAGAGTAGTGAAAAATTGCAAAGTTCCTCTGTTTCTGTAATCAGATGAATTTGTCATAATATTTACTAGATTTTCTTGAATGCTTTGTGCCATTTAATGGGAGGCACTCTTTTCATTAACTGCTTTTCTTTCAAGCTCTCCTCCCTGCTAGTCGGAATGCCCATGCCTTCACCTTATCCTTAAATGGATGTCACCTTTTAAAATAGTTGAGAAAGGATCCTCATTTGCATCTGTCTCATTCTAATTTAACTAGGGAGTGTATCTTTCTTCAGTGCCATGAAATACAGATGAGTAGGAGAACTGAGCTTTAAGAAAACTAGTTTTCATATTTTTGCAGTTCAACTTGTATGAATTGCATTGCTTAAACATCTCAGTGCCTGTAAATGGATGGGTAACTAGAACCTGTTTAGCCTCCCTGAGATAAGCAGACAGGATTTCCTAATGCTGTGGCTTTCCTTCATAGGCAAGAACTGTTTTGAAGTCTGATTGCAACTCCTGACACAAACCTGTTTTGTGCCATAAATATCCTCTGTGAGCCTTTTTGGCATTCCAAATGAGCAGACTTGCAGCCTTCTTGATGAAACATTCTTTCTGCTGATGTTCTCCATCAAACTTTCAAGCCCTTCTTTAGGAATGAATCAGGGAAAGGAAATTTGACACTTGTCCTTTTCTCATCAGATACATATAGCAACATGTCCAGAAACCTGTGGATGGCTGTGAAGGAAATAAATTAAGTGGCTCCTGAGACAGCAGAAAGGGAAAGTAATCATCATGGGATACCCTTTGACATCAAGCCAAAACAAATGTCTTGATCTCTGCTGGGTTGTATTTTGATTTTTAAATTCTGGATTCAGGCAAATTATACCACTTCTGTTGCGGCTGACAAAAATATGACCAAAAAAAAAAGTAATTCCCTCTAGTACCTTTTAGGTTATGACTGTGTCAACTTTCTGTTCTAGATTTACCTTTCATAATCAATCTGTAAGTAGACTTACAGACTGTAGTAGATGATGTAAACAAGAACATCTGACTTCATACCTGGTTTATACTTTAGGAAATACTTCAGTCTTACTTAAAGCAAAGTAATTTTAAATATCAAATTGAACATCAGAAAGATGTTAGATTTCTTCTGTAAATATAGAGCTGGCTCATTAGTTTCTTTTCAGAGTGAATACTGAATATTGTTAACACACCGTGTGAAGACAGTCTTGTTTATATAAATGTTACATCATATGAAAATTATATATTCAGCTTTTCCCATTTCTTGTACTTGATTGTGGTGAGGGAAAAAAAAAGGTGCCATGTATGTGGATTGAGGAGAGTTGAATGACCTTTCTGCCAGCCTTTGGTTTCTGAGTTATTAGGCAGTATTCCTAGCTGGCTAAAAAAGCGAAGGGTTTACTTCTTTTCTATAGAATTTCTAGAACTATGTTCTTAGAAAGTGTTGAGAGCACCTCAGTTTTGAGGCTTAAATGGGTACAGAGGAGGAAGAGTTACTTGTGTGAGAGATTTTCAACTACTTTCTTTCTTTGATTGTGGCCTTGTTTCTTTTTTTATTATACATCTGAAGATGGAAGTTTCAAGAAACCAAAATAGACATTGGGGTTTTTTCTGCCTCTTCTGTTCTTCAGTGCAGCAGTAGAAACAGTAGAGTCTTACCATTTCAAAGTTGTCAGGAAAACCCAGGAGACCTGCAACAGTCATCTTCACAGTGTTTGTCTGTCACTCCACATTTCCACCTCATTCTTCAGCTCCACTGTGTGCCTACGCAGCTGAGTGCATGCAGCTGCTAAAACTGCTCTGAATTGAGGGGTGCAAAGCATCTTCTGTGTTTGGCACTAGCTTGGTTACTGTGGGCACAGCCTCTGAGAAGCAAAGCCTAGTGCAAAACCCTGTGCTACTAGCATATCTGAGGTAATGTTGCTGCTTTTTTGTGATCACAACCAGTATCTGGTGTTTGAACCTGAGTGTTTGCCTCTTAAGGCAATTTCATTCTCCTCTCCTTCTTGTAGTCAGGGGTTTTGACCATCCTTTTCAGGTAAAGCCTCACAGAGATACCAAATTCGGAAGGAAATATCTGGGTGGATGGGGCAGGAGGTGAGGGTGGGTAGGGAGGAGTGAAATGAGGTTATAGCATGAGATAGGGGAGCTACCACTGGCAAAGTGGGAGTTTGTAGGGCAACTGGGTGAATCTGCCATATGGATGTACCCTGCTGGAACCCAGAACTTCTAAAGTGATAGGAAAAAGACCTGTTGCTTGCTAAAATGATAACAGTCACTCAGATTCTTATTTCACAGCCAAGCATTTTAAAACACTTAGGCTGCCTGGCTGTGCACAGCCATCCACTTGTCAACTAGGTCCCTTGCAGTGTATTCTCCTATGGTTGTTCCCCTGTAGCATCTGTGTGTAACTGTATACATAACCATGAACAGATGGAGTGTATTTTCCTATCTGCAGTTGTTGAATTCTATTTATCTTCAAGACTGCTATGAAGTATTTGGGAATAAGGAAGGGAAAGCTCTTAGATCTCTTTCCAGTTTACATCAAGAATGAGCCAAATAAATTCTGTTTCTCAGGAGGTAGAGTGCCAGGATGGGTTTAAATGGTTCAGGGAATAGAATATTAGAGTTGGAAAGAATACAGTGCTTTTTCCATGATAATACAGCTTGCCTCTGGGTAGAGTGATGGCAAAGTTATAGTCATCTATTCCTTATCTGCCCTTCTCTGTACCTAATTGCACAGGCCTCCCCACAGTAAATGTGAGCTGTAACTCCCTTTTATTCTGTTTCCCTTTAGTTTTGCATAAGGATCCAAGACAAGTGTATCTTTGTCTGTTGGAAATTGGACGCATTGTATCTGGGTATGTGATCCATATGTGCTCTTAACAAGAAATTGAAGAACGCATTCGAATAAGTAAAAGCTATGACAAACTTAAACCAATCTGTGGTTGTTAAGTGCATTGCAGTAGATGTTAATTCCGTGCAGAAAATAATGAGTAACTTTTCTAGTTATCAGACTTTTTTCACGGAGAGGTGATGACCCACACTGCTTTTTATAGCTATAGGTTTAAATGCTACATTCAGCCTATAGACGTCTTGGAAGATCTCGCTGAACATTAAGTCTGAGTTTAAATTATTTAATTTTGTAGGCTTTTTGGCAGGTATGGAAGCTTTAAATATGAATCAGCTCTCTATCAGTCTCTAAATATATACTTTTTATTTCCAGTGCAAAGCAGGAAGTTTTAAGATAGCTTATCTAAATTGGATGTGACCTAAATTGTGTAGTTTTGATAGTATTTTACTGCCTTCTCTGGTAGCTCTAAGGCCACCTTTGAGAGCACTTCCGCTAGAAACTCTAAGAGTTGCTCCTTTGCATTTTCAAAGCAATTATTCCTCTGACTGATTTGATGCTCTTTTCTGTTAGTCACACCGCTCAGAATTTTGCATGCTTGTTATCATCAGTTTATGTTTTCTTCAATAAATTGACAATTAAATTCTCTACATTTATATTTGTATTGAGGTATGGAGTTGAACCTCCTGTACTGGTAAAACTAGAGAAGGAAATTGAGCTAGAAGAAACACTACTGATGACCTCTGGACCACCATCACCTGTTATCACAGCCAAGTCATGTTGCCACCATGGGGAGCTACATGAGGCAGTATGTACTACTTATTTAATGTGATATGGACTTTTAAACTCTTAAGTTTAGTGCTTGTATGATCCAGCTCAGTAAGCACAGGCTGATTTTTGTCTAATATTTGTGAGCCTTCTTAAACAGAAAACAAAAGGATATGCACCTCTTAAAAAAAAAAATCTTCAAATGTGATCAAATTGCTGTAGAGTATGTTCTGAAGTTAATGCCTTAGTGCGTATAACTTACCTTGATTTCCACTCCCCTCCTCCTTTATTGCTTCTTGGAGTAGAAGAAATACTCTAATAAATTTTTTCTGGTGTGACAATACAGTCTATGACTGTAATGTATACTTCTCTTGAATGTAAGGTTTTCATCAAACTTCATCAAATGCTGAAGCAGACTGTGATTAAATGCTTTTGAAAAATACTTTAAATAAAACCTCTGTAGCTATACCAACTGGAAGTTAATATGTATGTAGCAGAGGAAATTCTTTATGCATCCTGTGACTTGGTCCAAAAGGAATGATAAACAGCTTTCCTATTTTGCATAAAAATGCATATTGAGACTTCAGTTTATTTTAAAGGTCCTCTGTGTTGTAATGTAAAACTTATACTTGTTTGGGAATGTCAGCTGCCACATCCTTGCTCTCTCTGAAGACTCACTAGTTGTCCTGCTTGGCAATAGTCTTGACTGTCCCGTAAGTGGCTGAAACAGGCACATCTTTTCTAAGCCTGGAGTTATTTAGGAACTTTGTTTCTCCTTTTTTCAGTAGTTTCCTTCTTGTGTAGGACGTAAAAGATTAACTTATAAAAAGCCTTGCAGAAGGTTAGGAATAATGCTGAATTAGCCCTGGGTCAAGTGTAGCAATGGATTCAGATACATGAGAGACTCAAATAGTTCTTTCAATTCCTAGAAACTCTAACAGTGTCTTTACAAGACTGTGGTTGGAATTGAATGCTATTATGCAGTGTGCTATGAACTAATGTTAAAAAAGAAAATAAAAATATCTTCAAATTGAAGAAATAATGGAAACTGGGTTTTAGCAACTCAAAATACTTGCCCATTTATAGTGTGTTCTTTCTTTTAATATTCTGTATTTTGAAACTCTATGTAGATGAGATTTTCTTGTGAGGGAATAGGATTCTAGTGTTTTCTTGGAATATTGGATGAAGATAACAATATCTTTTCTTGTATCAAATATCTCAATAAACTGTTAAACACTTGCTTCTATCAAAATACTAATGCATGTTTTCAATTTTAATAACCAGGTTAAACATATAGCAGAAGATCCTCCCTGTAGTTGTTCCCATCGATTTTCAATTGAATATTTATCAGAGGGACGTTATAGACTGGGAGATAAAATACTCTTCATACGAGTAAGTAGTTTCTCAGAATTCAAATTTATATTCAAAATGGGGAAGAAAATACTTTTAAGTGGGATACTTCACTTTTATGATACTGTTTTGGAATTACAGAATTATTTAGGTTGGAACACCTCATCATTCAGTCACCTATTCAAAGTAGGTGTAGCTAATTAGATCTTACAACCATTGATTTTTACAACCACACTGAAGTAAACAAGTTAATGTTTTCCTGTTGTGTTTCTAAAATTTCAGTAGCAACTTGCAATATAAATAAGGATAATGAAATAGAATATCCTGAGAATGTTGCTTATTCAAAATCTGGATGCTTGGGATTTATAATTTGTAGGCTAGTTGAGTGCAGTCTTCAGCAGGCATAAGAATTTCTGGGATTAAAATATTATGAGGACATCCATAATTCAAAAAAACAGGTTTCCAAGACTGTATACTAAATAAATATGCTGAAAGAGTGGTTAACATATCTTCAGTATATATCCTTTCATTACTTCCCAACATATAATGACTTTCTCTGCAGGAGAAACTATCTAATAAAAGAATTGGGAAGCCCAAATCTTATTTATCACATAATTTCTCTTTTTAAAAATCTTTCTCTGTAAGAAAGGAGGTCCTATTTTTAGTTGGTTTTGGTAGATCTTAATGTAGAATGAAGATATAATGCTGCAGAAAACGAGATAGAAATGTTTCTTGTTCTTCTCCTGCTCCCACCCCCTCTTCCTCTGTTCTCAGATGCTACATGGCAAGCACGTGATGGTACGTGTTGGTGGAGGCTGGGACACTCTTCAAGGTTTTCTGCTCAAGTACGATCCATGCAGAGTGCTTCAGTTTGCAACTCTGGAACAAAAAATCCTGGCGTTTCAGAAAGGGGTCACCAGTGACAGTGTCTCCAGTTCAACAGCCAGAGTTCAGGAACCTCCCATCATGAATCCGATGTCAGCTGTCAATATGTTTCAAAAGCAGCCATCAAAACCCCCTACTCCTGTTTCAGCTGTAAAGGCTGTCCATGCTGCCAGTGCCAAGAAGGTTGTATCTACACGTCCTCAGTCCCCTGCCCTGGCATCACCAAAAGTGCCAGCACACCCATCCTCTGCAGCCAAGTCAGTCAGGTCCAAATTACAAGGGTGTTCAGGAACAGGTGTCCAGTCTCCTTTCAAACCATTATCTGGCACCTCAAAGAAACTGGAGCCTTGTGCACACAACTCGCCAGCTCCTTCGCAGCCTGTAAGCAAGAGCTCTTCATCTGCAGGAGCCCGAACAGCTCTTGTGCACTCCGACACGTTGCGCAAACGTATTTGGTCCCCCGATGCTCCCAAGGGAAAATTTGCCCTGGCTCAGGCCTCCCCCGCACCAGTGCTGCATCCTGCCCCATCATCCTCCAAAAAACAGCCTTCTCACTTGCCTGGCACAGCTAAAACCATGGCCTCAAAACAGAAGCATGTTGCTGCTAAATGCAAACCTGTATCTGTCACTAAAACCAAAGCGAGTTCAGTTGCTCCGAGGGCTGCTCAGGCGCCTGTTACAAATCTGCAGGCTGTTGCCAAGTTTGCACATTCTCAGCAGCTCCTTGCAAAATCTCCTTCTGAAAATACTATTGAAGCCTCAGGAACTGGGTCCCAGCGTCATCAAAAAGCTCCACAAACAGCTGACCTGGCAAGGAACCTGAAAAGTGCTCCAGTCCTAAAGCACTCAGCTTCTGCTCCTTCCCTTGCAGTTAGCAAAGCATCAAAGTCACCACCTATGCTGGTATCTACGAGCAAAAACGTATCATCAACTGTCCGTAAGCAGCCAAATGTCAGTAAATCTCCTCAGGTTGGACCAGCTTCATCCAAACCTCCTGAACGCACTCCCTTATCTGTTGTACGGCTTCCTCAAACCTCAGCCAAAGCAACAGTGACCAAAAAGCCAGCACAGCCTTCCACAAAAGGTCAGCCTTCAGCCAAAAGCTTACAATCAAATGAAAGCTTGGCCCCGGCAGCCAAGAAGCCTCTCCCTAAGGGAAAACTGGCAGTGGCATGTAACAAAGGGATGCCTGGGGTATCAAAAGGTCCTCTTGTGAAGAGCAGGCAAGATGATCACTATTTTGTTATGACAGGGAGTAAAAAACCCAGAAAGTAAACGTATTTGTTGCTTTCTGTGGAAGTCTCATTTATTTTTGTTCAATTGAGTCTCTAAGTATCTGCTATGCTGAGGGCAAGGAAAAAAGTTAACACTACATTTACCATGAAATATTAAGTGTAACATACTTTTTGCTGCATAACTTACAGTAAGAACTGTATTTATTTTGCGGTTTATTTGGATATATTTAGAAGTGGGCTTGCTTGCTGTGTAGCACTGTGGAACAGAGAACATCCCTGTTTGCTGCTAGCCTGACCTGCTGCATGAAAGGCAAGAGAGAGGAAAGGGGAGCTAAGGCTGCTGCTTTTGCTGCTGCTGATTTTTAAGGAAGTGAAGTCTGCCTGAGAAATGTCTGCCCAGGGCAGAGCCTGAGCAATTCAGGTGGTTCTGGATTAAGGCCTGTGGCAAGTAATAGAGCTCTGCACAAGCTGTAAAAGTGCTAATACCTCACACAAAACTGTTTCTTAGTTCATCAGTGTCCCAGAACTCAAAATGGAGTAACTTGCATGTATTAAAAAGAAAGGGAAACCTCTAGTCATATTTAGATTTAACAGCTGCCACTGTCGGTGTTCACTGTGCCCCCCCATATGCCTTAAAGTGGCTTCAACTTCTCAGAAGTGGAGCCGCATTGTTTTGTGTTAAGTCTGACATGGAAAATCACGGCCTCGATTGCTCACTCTCCTTGTGCCTTAACCTCTCAAATGCATGACAAGTCTCCTCAGTGAACAACGCCAGTTTTAAAACCCTGGGCAGATGACCTTGCTTGTTCATGTTCAAAACTGACTATAAGTGAGCCCAGTATTTTCTAGAAGGCTCTTGCCACATGAAGTGCCCGAGTTGCTGGGAGGATGCTTTGCCCTTGGACGGAACTTTGGGGCAGCTCCTGCTCCAGGGACACAGAACTGCAAGTACTGACCTGCACTGGCAGAGCCTTACTGCTCTCTGGGAGTGGCCTTTACATGTAAAATTTAATTACTAAATACTTGTGGTGCTACAGCTTAATTTCTGTCTGTAGTCCTAGTCTGCAGTGGCTTTTTTTATTATGGAGGCCTTCTTACTGGCTCTCCTGTACTGTTTTCCCAATGAGGTAATGAGGGACTGTGTTTGCCTTTAAACATCTTAAGAGTGCCAGAAAGTTATGCACTATTTATGCTCAATTCTTGAAGGCTTTCACTGGGTTAAACATCTGTGGTGCCCAACACCTTTACCCTTAAGGGAAGTGAGTTTCATGCAGATTAATAAAAACTACTGCTTTTGGGAGTAGAAGTGTTTAGGATATTTTGGGTCTAATCAACAGTTTTTCTTACAAACACCAAGGAGCTCTGCAGATCTGTGAAGTACTGACTTCCACAGACTATCACTACTTCTCTCCATTCCCTTGGTATTTACTTATGGGCAGGAGAAGGTTTTACATGGAAACTACAGTTTCTAATCTTGTATTTATATATATATATATATATAGTTATTTTTTTCTCCATGGAACTAGAGTAAGCATCATAAACTAATCATGAGTTCTGATGTGCAGTGGCAAAGTCACTGAGCTGCCTTTCTGAGCACCTTTGTTAGCTTTTTTGTATTTATGATTCTATTTATGCATATCTACTGTACAATACTGCTTACAACCTGCTGGGAGTAAACAGTCAATAACCAAACTGTAGAAAGAAAACAGTTCAGTTTTAATAATATAGACAAAAGTCTCACAAGCTCACATACAGAGTTCTATGTCTGGGCAAAGCTTAGGCCTACTTGTTTTATAAATACACTGGTCAAAGCCACTACTGCCAATGTTAAGAGCAGTTTTTTTGTAGGGAACTGCTTTCAGGTTTGATAAATTTTGCACATAGTTTCATATGCTGAAAGCATTTTGCAGTGGATGACCTGCTTTTCATTTTGAGCTTCCAAACAGTGAGCTGTGATGTGATAATGCACATGCAGATTAATAGCTAAATTATTGGGGTTTCTTTCTGTACTGTCAGGCTGAGATGGAGTTAACTTTCTTCATAGCAGCCCATATGGTGCTATGTTTTGGATTTTTGGCTAAAACAGTATTGATAACAATGTTTTGGTAGCTGTTGAACAGTCCTTGCACAGGGCCAAGGCTTTTTCTTTTTCCCACTCTGCCCCTGCAGTGAGTAGGTTGCAGTGAGCAGGAGATTGGGATGGGACATGGCTGGAACAGTTAACCTAAACTGGCCAAAGGGCTGTTCCATACTGGGTAATATAGTGCTCACTGATAAAAACGAGGGAAGAGCAAGAGGAGGGGTGTGTGGGGGGCTGGATTCAAAGCTGGCCATTGCAGAGTGGCTTATGGGAGGCAGTGAGTGATTGCCTTTGCATCGCCTGGTGGTTTGGGGTTTTCCCCCTTTTTCCTTCACTTATTAAACTGTCCTTATCTCAACCTGCAAGTTCTCTTGCTTTTGCTGCTTACCGTGCTGGGAATGGAGGGGACAGAGAGCAAGTGAACAGCAGTATGTGTGCTTGGCTGCTGGCTGGGATCTACCCTCAACATCTTTTGAATTGTTTACAAGTTTTTTTAGTAGTAATTTAAACACTGAGACAACTGGATCTTGGTGTAAAACTATCTTGAAATTTACCTTTTTGAACTATAACTTCAGAGAAAATGAAGCAGATGGCTTCATCTTGGTGATCCATTATTTAATGTAATAGACTGATTTTATGGTTGAAAATGAAATAAAAAGTTTTTATAGCTGAAACCTTAACCAGCTAATCTAAAGATGATTCCCCTGTTACATGTGGGTAGGCTTGGTTTGGTTTTATTACAAAAATAGTGTATTTGAACATGGTGTGAATATTGCAATCTCCAACTTCATAGTCATATTCTAACTATGGATGTCATGTAACATGAGGTGAACCAAGAGTAAGATGTAACAAAGTACCTCCTAATGGAAACGCATATTCTTTTTGCAGTGTTTACATTGCCAAATAGCAGATCTAATCTTCAGCTGGTATTACCTTTTGTGAGGGAGAGATAACTTGGAGCAAGAATCTAACTGAATTCTCCATATATTATGAATGTCCTTCTGTACGAGTACTTATTTTAAATAAACATATACTGCACCTTTTTTCCATGCATACATTTTTTTTTTTTTTTTCCTATTGCCCTATTTGTGTGGGAAGGGAAAGATAATGTAATGCAGAATCCATCTCAGGTTACTATAAAGACATAAAATTCTGCTTTTAATCCATTACTTTTTTTGAAGTTCAAGACCTCTTTACTCTAATCTTTGTTTCAGTATGACTAATTGAGTAGATGGAGCTTCCTACCCTTCCTTAGGAAAGAGTACTCTTCTCTTACTGACAACATACCTGAGAAGTTTCAGGTGTACCTCTGACAATTTTATCCTTCTCAGCTCTACTTGAAAGTTAAAGCATTTGTGTGCCAATGTTTTCTATGCTTCCATCTTGTCAACAAACTTAAACTCGCATCTGTGTCTGTTGCCATCAATAACAAATATACTTGGTTTTATTGAGAGGAGAATTGAGTCTTCTCACTGGAGTCACCTAATTAATTATTTTCTCCCTATTTTATTTTAAATTTATATTTGAATATCTGCAGTTCTCTGCCTTTTCCTAAGTCGCTTCAGTTCCTGCCAGTCTGATGCTGGTGCCTAATCTTGTAGATGTACTTATCCCTCCACTTCAGCTTTGTCTAGTGAGTGCATTATTGAGGCATCTACCATACTTGCTCCTGCAGGACCAAGCTCTGCAGAGAACTTAGTTACATCTTCCTTTTGAGAGCTGGTAGCATTACAGGTCGCAAATAGAATATGAAGAGAGCCCAAGGCTCTCTCAAGTAAGCATCTAACCATTGAACTACAGTATCCTGCTGCCTTGTCCCAGGGAAACTTAAATCACCATCCACCAGTAAAACTCTAAAAGGAGATATGGAAGATGGCTTTTCTCCAAAACTGCCTGAATTGCTGGTAGGTATTACACATTCTGGTTAAATGATATGGTCTCGTCCTTCCTGGTTTAGCTTTTTAGCTTTTAGACCTTAATAGAAATGATTGAATCATTCACACTTTTTACAGGTAGGTATATACGATTGCTATCTGGGAGAGGGTGGAAGGCTCCAGTATCCACAGACCAAAGCCCTTCTTCTAACTCAGTGGAGAGGCACTGCTCTCTTGAAGTCTTAAGATCTTGCATCTCAAGCTCTGTTTTTACCCAAAGCCAAATGTTTCACATTGTGAAATCTGGCTGTGGCTGTTTTTCTTGTAACAGAAAAAGCCAGCTGGACCATCCTGTAGAGGAATTCCGTTCAGAATGAAATGAGCAAATGGCAAAGGCCTTTGGACCCCATAGGGAGGCACCTTGAGATGGCTAAAATGTACCTGATTTAAGAGTCATAACAGAAAGCTCAAGAAACAGCAGAAAAGTTCCTGAAAACTGTAGCCCTCTTATAACTGCACACAGGTGCCTGAAAGCTTTGTTTGCATGTGGCTGATACAAGGGCCCTGCAGAGCTGGGCTGCTGTGTGATGCCTCAAAACTTCGTTCTCCGTTCTAGGAGCATAGTGAAGCACACATGGCATTTGTTTGGAATGGTGAAGTACACGTGCATGAATGCACAGTAAAATACGCATGCAGCTCAAAGGACTTCAGCTATGGCTTGGCAGTTTATAGACACATACATAAATCTGATAAAATTCAAGGCATTTTTCACTCTGAAACTTCAAGTAGCCATAGCTTCAAACTTCAACTGTACAGCTCCTTTTCTGTTTCCCTAGAGGCACACTGAAATCTTGTTGGTTAGTTCAGTGAGTGCTATGGGGCCATCTGGTGTCTATGAATTTAACAAAGGCTATTCCAGCAATGTAAGACTTTGCTTAAAATCCACAGACAAAACCTTCCTTTTTTGATTCCAGTTAAACCTTTTAGCTAGTGAAATCCAGACACAGCATGTAATAAATAATGCAAACGATATTTAATTTTGTAAGACTATTTAATTTCATGCAAATATATTTTGAAAACCTCCTT